GACACTGGATATACAGTATGTAAGAGATACATGTTTGCAGTTCTCTTAAGCTGCTTTAGAGTGCCTCTATGACGGACCCTTACCTTTGGTTCAAGGTAAATGCTGGTCAGTCAGTAATGCACACTTTGATTTTTGTAAGTTGTTCTTCAGCAGCAGAGATATCTGCTTTAAGTCACTGTCAAGTTGGAAGACAATCTAAATTTAGTTTCTTTACACATTGTTTTCACAGGTCTGGCGAACTTAGCCGCTCTATTTTTGGCTCATTAAAAGATACAGTATGCAAGAACAAAAGTATTTTTCCACAAACACTGTTCTTCTAACTGAAAGCAACATTAATGTTTTGTATGGGATCAGACTCTGGTCCTATACAAATAACCAATCTGTGGAGGGGCAGGACGATTGGAGTAATAGTAAGAAGACCTTCCAATGTCAAAGTTCGCTTCAGAAAAATCAACAAAATACAAGCAAAAACATGTAAAAAGCTGATCGATAATTATGAGGAGAGGTTGATTGCTGCACTGAAAAAATTTGTTTTTCTCCCACTGATTACGGTAAAAACCATTTTTATTAAATGTAACTAAAAGAGACTTTTTTTCAAAGCTGATGCTCATTATGAATAATTTTATAATCCTCAGACATTAATTATTTCTCCTAACTGTTCTGGTTGAAATAAAAAACTTTTCAATGTTAACCTCCAGCACTAAAAAAAATATATATACTTATTCCCTCTTTCTTCAGGATGTCCTTTGTATCCTTCTCTTTTTCTTTGCATGAAATCAGTGCAGTCTGTCCCAGTGCAATGCTTGAGTGATTATTTTTTTGAGAAAACAACTCCTGATTTGGCATACAGCTGCACAAAAATATGAGAACAAAAACTGAAAAGTTTTGTTGCATTATGTTGTCGTATAGCATAAAAGGTTGGGTTTCTTTCTGAAAATGGCATGATTTAGGAAAGGTTTCACAGTGCAAGGATTTGCAAGCATCTCCATCATCAAGTACACAGAAAATATAAAGCTTGCTTGGAAAGACTGGCCAGAAACATGCTCAGTATGAGTTACTGCACTGAAAAAATGTAAATACTATTATGTTTTTCTGTCCTTGAAGCCAAACTTTTATGGTAAGGCAAATTAATTGCCTGTAACTGGTCTCTTTTTTGCACAGTTTCTGGATCTCTTTCTAACCAGTTTGTCAAGTATAGATTTAAAGTAGTCTTCTTAAAATTATTTACTGGTTACTACATATACAAGTGGAAAACCATTAGTGAAAAAAGAAAACAAATATGATGAAGAAAAACTAAGCAAAACAACACTCAAACAGCAGGGTAGAAACACTGACAGAAACAGTAAACAGAAAAAACGACAAGAAGTTTCGAATGTTGGTTGGCTTTTAACTGCTGAGGAGATGATCAGTGACATTAGAATAAACAGGTAAGCATGACTAGCAGAGTAGAATACAACTGAGTAAAGGCTAGAACTGAGAAGCTGAATAAAAGGGACTAATAGTAACAGAGATCAACCCACTGGGATCTACAAGAGCAAAGAAACACCTGACTGACCCAAGGACTAAAATGTATGAAGTGAAAACTGGTTAATTTTGGACAAATACTTTGAATTCGATCTCAAATTTTTTGTTTAACAAAGACTTTCCCAGTGAAATATGTTCTGTTGCCTAGAATATGTTAATAAGTGGTATCCCCATCAACCAGAGATGGAAGCTGAGGTGGTTTCTTGCAAAAAACAACAAAATAACCCCAGAAAACATCAGATAGAACTTGCATGAGGAGCAAAGAAACGATGAGGAACCAGCAAAGAGTAACTACGGAGGACTTGTATATATGGGAGACAGAAACAATGGGGGGACTAAATAGCAGATGAGGAACAGGTGTGGACAGAAGAATCTAGAAGGGAGCTAGGGGAAGGAGATTGACACCAGAGGGCAACAGAGAGCAAACAAGAAGCACCTCATATGAATTATTGGTTGATATACTGCAAAATCTCCCCAGTAAACCAAGACAAAACAAAAACAAACAAACAGAAAAGTTGAAATAAAAGAAATATTTTATTGATGTTTCACAATTTAAACTTGGCTAAAAAATCTACATAGCAAATTTGTCTCTATGTGAGCGCACATACAAATAGAAATATTCCCTGCTATTCTTTTGACCAAAACATTCAGATGACTGTTAGGTATCTTTAAAAAAAAATAACATTATGATCCTATGAACCTGCTGAGGACCATCATGTTTTTAGAACACCCACTGAAGCTGGCAGTAAATGCAAGCACTTAGCAAACTGGTGCTGATAATGACTAATTAGGTGCAATTTAAAAAATAGCATTTTGTCAAAGTTGACGGCAGGAAAAGGGTCAAGCTCTCTGTGCTCAGCAGCTGGAGCACCACTTTACCTTATGTCCTGAATTATCTCTTACCTTTAACAGTCATTTATCAAATCTACAGTACAAGGTCAGACATTAAATAACCTCACCAGACACTTTGCACAAAGTTGAACTTACTTTTTGGCTTTTATGATCTCTTCAGATCCTTACAAATTCAAGAAGGTATTAGTTATTTTTTACAAGATAGCATCACTCCGATGCAGCAGCGCTGTTGTCTGAAACATCCATTGTAAGAACCTCCTGTTCCATTACTTTGTTCTTTTGGACTGTGATTTGCCGATGGTAGAGACCACTGGAGAACCCATTGCCATGTTCAAAAAACAAGTCTGAGATTATCTGAGCTTGTGACATGGGACATTATACAGCCATCTAATTCGCTGATTACCCTATTGTGTTAACAAGCAGTTGAATGTGTATACAGTACATATTAAAGTGGTTACTGTGTGTAACCTAAACTATTGATTCAACTACATAACCAATGATCAGCCGGATTGGCTGAGTCTGAGGTCTATGTCACAATATAGGTCAACTTGTGATTGAATCAAATTATTAAAACAGAAAACAGCAGGAATACCAGCTAAGCTTGGATATTTTTTTATTTTTTTGTATGTTCAAATTTTTCCCTTTAAAGCATCGTCCTACCGTGTCCACTGGATGTGCTGCACAGCGGTTCTTTAACCAGGTTAAATTGAGATCTTCAACAGTCAGGTTTAACATGCACCTAAAGGGAAACTGGATCTTTCCAGGAATCAGTGGATTATTTGACATCATATATCAACAAATGAGGAATCAAGACTTTAGGTTAGCATCATTTTACCAAAATCACCAAGTGAAAAATCTATTTTGTGCCTTTGATCCTCATCCATCGCAATAGAGTTGATGAAGAAGCTCAAAATGCTTGTTTACTTGATCAGACGCCATCTTTCAAGTCATGTTTGACTTTCCAGGTTATCCACATTTACTCAACAAACAACCTTGGGAGCATCATGGGAATTGTTGTAATAACAATAACAGCATATTTCCACATATTTTGACTAATTTCTGTTTGTTTAGCTTTTGAAAATAAACTGAATAGGATGCTAAATATAATAGATAAAAATTTTGCACAAACTCCAATTTGGTATTCATTTGAGTCACAAAGCCACATGCTTTTTAATCATAATCCTTCAAATTGATTATTGGGTTCTCAGACTCCAGGCAGAGATGAAATTATCAGCACCTGATTGGGCAAATCAATGAGCAACACGGAGTATTCGGTCTGCAGAGCCGGCCTATGAGCAGGTAGCATTGCAAAACATTAATAACACATGTACACAATAATATTACCACTTCAGTGCATCTAATTGCCCCTTTTCCATAGCACTTGGCTCTGAGTAGAAAAATAAAAGATCTTTATGTAGATGCTTCTTCTAGTTTACCTTTCAACAGAAAACAAATATATTTACAAAACAGACAAATATAAGCATTTGCTAAAATGATTCTTCCAGGATAAATGCATGCATGATTCCTTTCAATCCTTTAAAGTCAACAGATGTTTCACAAAACAACAATGTGGGAACTTTCAGTAACGGCTTTATTAAATTAGTGCAAAAGACAGACAGAACTCATTCATAATGTCCTCTTTAGTTTAAGTTGGTCTTCCAGACAAACCTATACATGGCAAGTTTCTCCAATGAATGCCAACAACAGAGAGCAAAACTATCCACCAAAACCAAATTCTTTGTTTTCTTCTTACACAATTTCATTTGACTTGTAATGAGAGATGGACAGAGAACAGGAAAGGCAAAAATGACGGGAGATTCAAACCTAATACAGCTGCAATCAACAAAACATCACTCCTGATTGTGCAATTAATCACACATTAAAAAGGAAAACAATAGAAACTAAAGAAAACAACTAAATATGTTACAGTAAAACAGTGAACACAACAATAGCTTTAGAAATAGTTTCTAAATTCACAGAAAAAAAGGGTTTCCAGTTTTTAAAAGTATGTACTGTGTGTATGACAAAAAATGCTGCAATCAAACTACATAAGTTAATCAATACTGTATATTTATACAATGGTAAAAAATAAAAATATTTATATAATAGTACTTTTTTTTAAGGTTCACACCATTACTGTAAAGATTTACTGATTTCCACTCCATGACAACTAATGCAATAGGAACAGAAGCAAATTAAAGAAACAACTCCAGAGTCTCTTACTTTGAAGGCTTATGGCTACAACCTTGTCCTAAAAGACCACAACCACCGCAGAAAAAGAAAAACAGTTTTTGTTCTTTCTGCTTCAAGACAAAAAAACAAGAGCAAACACGGTCTGTGACGAGAAAACAAAAGAACACGTCAAAAAAGTCAACGCTCTTCAGCAACCAGGACAGCAGCTGAGCCGCTGCGGTGTTCGCTGGCCCAGCGATGGTCACGCAGGTCAATAAAGGACAGACAGGTAAGGAGACGCTTATACGCAGTCAGGCAATCTGCATTGGGGAAGGGGTGGGGGGGACACAGGTGAAAGAGGTAGCCATGAAGGGGCAAGGTGGGAGGGATCCATGGGTGTCAACAAGGCTAACAACTGGAGTATTACGGTTCATAAGGAGTTAAACATGTTATTTGTCTTACAATATCATCATTGACATTCTTTCAAGTATCGCCTAGAGATGTGGCATGATGCCAAGAATAATGCTAACACCCACTATATTTCTGTCACTGCAACAGAGAGGTGCCAAATGCAATACAGTGACAAGTTGAAAAAGTAAATTATAAAATCAATGATGGATGAAAAAAAAAAATTGAGAGAGAGAGAGAAAGATGGAGGAGTCAGAGTGAGAAAAAAATGATCTAAAATCAAGACATGAAAAGGTAGGAGAAGAGCAGGCGAATCAAGAAAAAGATGGAGAGAAAGAATGAAGAAGCAAGAAGTCATTCTACTAAAATAACATTAGTGATATACAGCTGCTGTGTCAGTGAGAATATTCTATATTTGCTTGTTTGACTCATTGTGGAGAGATTTCTTCTTGCTGCATCTTCTTCTTGTCCTTCTCTCCTAAGCCTGGGTCGCGTGGGGGGAGATAAGTCGTTGCTTTTCAGTGTTGCAAAAAGGACTATGAGAGGTATCAGCAGAACTTACAAGCCTGGTGGGAGGAGAAATGGATGAAAGGAAAGGGGGTGAAAGGAAAAGGGGAATATGGATAGGAAAGGAAGAAGAAAAGTATAAAAAAAAAGTGTTGTTATCATCAAGCAGAATCTGTTACATCTAACATGTGACTGAACAGGAATGATGATTTACAAGCACATGAGCTTAATTAAGCTGTACCACAACATTTTCCACTTTCCAGCTACATCTTTTTAGTTTTGTTTTTCACTTTAGAGTTGTTTACTGTAGACAATAGTCAGAATAATCCCAGTTTGGAGAAATTCAATGACAAACTAAAAGGTGCAGTGTAAACTGCAGCTTTTTAAGTAAAAACATAAACTTACGTTTTCACTTTTGTATTTGGCATAAATACAGTAATAAATAAATAAGCATACAATTAATTGCCCTCAAAAATACAATACACAAATAAATGTAGGTAGAAATTAAATCATACATAAATGTATAGCTATATCTCTTTTAATTAGCTTTTTATTTATTTGCCTTTGTAATAATTACCTTATTCACCTATTGTCTGTTATAATCTCCAACTACATTTATTTATTGCTAATTTTTTTAAGTATTTATTTATGTGCATGTTATAATAATTTTGTCTGTTGTATTCTTCATTTGTATTTTTTTACACTAACACTATTTCTGCCTGTTGTTTTTACATTTCTGCATGCATTTTTGCCTTATTATGTAAATAAGGAAAGGGTTATCATGCACATAAATAAAGACTTAAAAAAAGAAGCAATAAATAAATAAAGTTGAAGATTATAACGGACAATAAATAAATAAGGTAAGTATTACAAAAGCGAATAAATAAAGAAGCTAATTAAAAGGGATATACATTTATGTCTCACTTTAAGTTCATTTCGACCTACATTTATTTTTTGTTTATTGTATTTTTGGAGGCAATTAATTGTATTTTTATTTATTTATTGAGCATTTATTTTATTTATTTTTAAATATGGCAGAGTTGGTCCTCCATAATGTTAACTCTAGACTCTAAGCAAACTTTTACTTCTCTGCTCTACAAAGATTACGTTAAAGTTGCCACTGCAGTTCAAATACAGAAGGTAAGCCACATAACCTCTATTACCCAAAATTCAAAGTCCATTAGGATTAATATAAAAGTATTGCAAATGACAAGGTACAGTTCGGATTACTTCTGTTTCCCTCAGTGATGCAAAGTTATTAGCAAAATCTGAGGCAGGTGCAGGAAAGTGCAAAGACAGGTTTCACCTGAGTGCACTCACACAAACCTGCTGCAGCATGAAATGTGATTTTATTGACTGCCTCTCTGCCAGCCATCTCCACATGGTCTGCTCTATTCTGACATGAATGGAGATGGAGGAGCAACAACAGGCAGCCTCATTCCTGTTTGAGCTTCTCTTAGATTTAATCTTCCTCTCTTCCCCCTTTTGTCTCTTCTATGACATGAATTCAAGGTAAAATGGAACGTTATACGTTTGACTTCTAATTATGTTCTTAAACTGCACTCAGGAACAAAGCAGGAGGTCTCTAATTGTACTTCACATATGAGCATTTCTAAAAGCTTCACAAGTGCACTTACAAGTCCATGAACTTGTTACACTTTTACTCTTTGATTAGAATGAATTGATTTAAAAGTTTGGAGTCCTAAATGAATTGTTTTAGACTGCTTTTTATTTTAGCTCCAATATTATTTAAACATTTTACTCATTTAATGCATAAGTTTGAATGTGTTTTTGGATGAGTGGGGGTTTGAGGCTGTAGGTTCATTGGACGCTGGTACTAAAATTATCTCCACATGTAAATTTACTCTCTGTGAAATATGCTAATAAATATACTTAAAAGCAAAAGTTGAATATTTTCTCTGACACCTGATAAAATGTTTAATGTCCACTTCAGTTAACCGGTCTCTTCAATCTCTAGGTATAACATATAATATTTAAATTTATTTCCTTATAGAAGCGAAAATAAATGATACGTTCTAAAGTGCTGGCAGATCAAATCTTCACATGGTAAAATCTGATCATTTATATATCTTATATATTTTCAAACAGGAAAACATCAACAACAATTTTTTTATTCCACACACAAGATGTAAAAAATAATGTTGCCTCTTAAACAGCACTTAGAAACTTGTATTCAACAGTGCAGCAGAAACTAACAGTCATGAGAGTCAAACAAAGATAAGCCCCATCCCATGCTTAAGATCTACGCCTATCTCAAAAAGAATCATATGCTAAAATTCAAGTAGGGTAATTCAAGTACGGTAATTCAAGTAGGGTAAAAAAAACTAGTTTTGAAAATGATATGCATCTTTACATTAATTCAGTTGAATATTGCTTTAGCTAAATCAATAGAGAGGATCTAAGTGCCTAATCAGGCTTTAAAAAAATGATAGATTAATCTTCCCTCATGCTGCTCCTCTGTACTGAGATCTCAGATGTTTCTACAGACATGGAGGTCACTTGGCTGTCTGGTGATCATGAGGATTGACCGTTGCTTGAACTGCCAGTCTCTCTAAGTCCTCCTCGATTCCTTTGATTTTATTTTCCGTCTTGTCTTCTTTTGTTTCTGCTGTTTCCATTGTTTGGTAAAACCTCCTCCATTCAAACGGCCGTCGTTTTTTTTCCTTCTATGCTTCTCAGTCATCTCTATGTCTGCTTAGTGTGCCATTACCATTTGGTCTGGAAGTCAAGCCTTAATATCCTTTGGTTGGTCTGAAATTTTTCAGACTTTAGAACTGGATCAATGTTAGCTCCACCCACTGACTTAAGACACCTAAACCTCTCTTGCGAATTTACTACAGATAATTCAGACCAAACTATAAGTATAGAGGCTGGATTTGTACATGATGAGTGAATAAACAGAGTGAAACAACTGAAAAGTATAGTGGATAATTTTTGTGAACTTTTTAAAAGACCCACCCTTTCCACTTAAAAAAAAAACAAAAAAAAAAACATGTGCATCACTCAAACAAGCTTATTTTGCAAAAGAACATTTGCATTTGTTCTACTATGTCAGACTCAGCAGCGATAAGTGAAAATGGGGACGAGCACGTAGAACGGCCTTACGTAAACATATCACCAGAATGATTGACAGTTTAGAGGACCACCTAATTTGACGATCCACCCGACTAAAGAACATCTATAACTTTAATATTGGAATTTATTTACTTTAAAACAATTACACTTAATTTTGATAAGTTTAAAGTCATATTAGATTATGTAATGGCACAGTCAATTGTATAATTTTCCATTTTATAATTTAATGGTGCACTTAAATTATCTATTTATATGCTGATGTGTTGAATAAATAAGTAGAACATTTAATGGAACATAAATTAATTTCATTTCACTTTCATTTATCAATTATATATTTAACTCTATTATAGGCAGTGATCCAGGCTTTCTACAGCAATGTTTTGGTGCTGATGTTGATGTTATTCTCTATTTCTTTCCTTTGTTTCTTGCTTTAGTTAAAATAAAGTGGATCATAATTTCAGCTCTAAAATAAGTCTGACTTTTTTGGTTATTGATCTGATCTTTTAATCCCTGTATCATCCTGGCTGTGATGATGACTGTTGCACTGACTGACTTACTTCCTGTGTTTTATATCTATCTCTCCATAATACATTAGATTTGAACTAAATAAAGTTTAAATTTAAACACAGAGTTTAAAAAAAAGAATGGCAAATCAACAACATTTTGCTTTATTTAACAGGATTACATATAAGCCTTGCATTTTACTACTAATCTTGCAAAAAGCATGCATGGTGTTGCAAGCATGAAGGTGGAGATTAGTCATAGCTTCTGTTTCTGGGTCTTCATAGTTTTTTCCCTTTTTATTCATTTCTGTTTGTTTCTGAGCAGATTGTGCAACTTCTTACTCTTTCAGCTCACAACTCGTGTTTTGTTTCACAGGATCACAGTTGGTGTCAGTCAGACAAACGTATGGTGCAGTTTGACTGCTGACATGCCAATATGTCCCGGCGTCATTTTTCTTTCTTTATCCCCCCTCGTCTCGTCCCCTCTCTGTGAGATTAGAGAGCCGTCTTGAGGAATGCGAGCTATAATTCTAGCAGACACTGTGAAACCAAATAGACTTGAAAAATTGTGAAGCGATCGAAGCGTGCCCGAATGAAAATGAATATATAATGTGGAAGATGGTACAGAACGGGTGGAGACGGTTGTTTTTTATGTTTCCCTCAACTCCCCCCTTCCATAACGGCCAGCCACACTTGAAGGAAACTTTAAACTCAAAGTATTGGCTTTTCAAATATAATGAGATTCCCTGGTGGCCCTGTCTCACCTCACAAGAAGAACTGGATATAAGAGGCAACTCTTCCCTCTGGCTAAAAAGTGAAGCCCCTGACATGAGAATACACAGCTGAATCAATTCAGCGCAGCTTTAACACCGACTGTGGAGTCGCCAGCCAGAAATGGATGAAAGACAGCATTTGGTAGAAAGAAGCAGGAGAAAGATGGAGTCAGACGAGTTACATATTATCACTTTAACTGAGGTGGGCTTGGTAACAAATGACTCACTTTATATTACAACCAGCAGAATCCACCAAATGTGGCTCTGCAGTGATTAAGGGAGGGAAGGTCTCATAATGACTCCTGCTGCGTTACATTGCCTCTTGATGCATGTTTGCATGTCGGGCTGTTGATCCATTTCAGGCATAAACCCACAGAGATGCAAACTTGTGAATAAACTGAGTGATCGTGAGGATTCATCACCCCAGGCATCTTGCTTTCACATACAGTCGATGCTTAGAGAAAAAAAAAAAGAAAAAGTTACACATCATGCAAAAAGTAGTACAGTAGGAAGTGAGAATATTTCTTCTTGAGGACCATAAAAAGGAACAACAAAAAACAAAAACAAAAATTCCTATGGAGGAAAATGTTTAAATAGAAAAGACAAGGTCACTGAAGTTGACTTGTCGCTAGTTCTCTAAAAAGTGTTAGCCCAATGCATAAATGTCAATTTAACAAGCTGCAGGAG